AAAAAAAAATATGGGGCCACACATCTAAAACCCCCCACGGGCCCGGGGAAAACCCCAAAAAAAAAAAAAAAAAAAAAAAAAAAAAAAAAAAAAAAAACATGCGTCGGATGTTTTCAGTGTCGCCACTTACTTGCAGGGTTTTCTGGTGCTGATTCGCGGAGGAGGCTGGTGGAAAACACAGAAGCTGCTATTGGAAACAAAGCCGCGTGGCTCTGCTGCTTCCTCTGCTCTCGCTCAGGTTTAGGATGGCATGAACGGTGCAGGAGAGAGAGGTATGCTGCAGACAGGAGGGAAAGGAGGAGGAGAAGAAGGGAGGGATCTGGAGGAGGAGTGGTGCTGATGCTGCAGCCCACAGCAGGTGCGTTTACACGCACATGCTCTCGTTTCATTTTCTTTATTCACTTCCGCCCTCTGCTGGATCTTTACTGGAATATCCCTCGGCGCTCTGAATGAGATGAAATTACTGTGCCTTGAAATGCATTCACCCATTTAAATTCATGGGTTTGTATGTATTGCGCATTTAAATTGTATTAAACATTTAATATTTGCATTTTTTGCTGTCACACAGATTCTAAATTAAGCAGATGTTAAATTCATAGCTCAGGTGGGAGAATCTGTCTTAAGATCAGCTGTTAGTCCTGCACTCAACAAATCTGATGTTATTAAAAAAATGGCAAAAATAATAATAAAAAAGAAGAATATTGTAAGAAATTTAGTAGGTGTCCAAATCAAAGTTTCCCCACATGTGATGTTAAGGAATTGGTGAACATGACCAGGTGATTTAGTCAGGAAGACCAAAATTGAATGTTCTGAGCTATAAATTATGCACAAAATATATTAGTATTTGACAAAAATAAATAAAAAATCAAGTGAGAAAGTGAACCATGCACAAGATTCCTTCACTCGCTTTGACAGTTGGAGCTGTAGAGATACCATATTTGTAGCTGGAAAGTATCCATGTATGTGTGAGCCAGGAGTTAGCCTGCTTCTTACTGTTAGTCCCATCTTTACAAAAAACTGCTTTAAAATGACAGTAAGATGAAATGATAAGAAAGCTGTGATTCTGTGCAGTAATCTGTGCTACAGCCACACCAAACCACATAAAAAAAACCCTTCTGTAAAATAAGGATGAAATGAGCAAGAACTGCTCACTGTCACATCACATACTCCCTTTCTTGCATGGATAACACATTTTGAAACATCGCTGTGTTCAAATGACCTTCGAAGCAATAGTGAGGTGTCTCACTTCCAGTCAAAAGTTGTGCCTAACAGGAGCGGCTGTACTTTGGGGCATTTGTGACTCTTGAGTAATTATGCTGATGAAAGAAAAAAGACAAATGACGGCAACTTTTTTTTGTTTATAGCAAGGATGTACGGTTTTATTTGCAGAGATATGCTTATTACAGGAATAAAATCAGTTTAAGAGAACATAGAAGCTGTAGAATCCACACGTTATGCAACTGCTCTTTTTCTAAAAAAGAAAAAAAAGTATTCATAAATAACTTAATACTAGAAATATACACATCTTATGTACAGTTTTGATTATACACATCTAATTATTGACTGCCATCTTGTTTTAAAGCAGCGGTGTCAAAAGTCTGTATAAAAGGGCGGATATCCTGCATGTTTTAGTCTTTTTTCCACTGGTTCTTCACACCCGAACCGGTTCATTAGGTCTCTGCAGAACTTTGACATGTTGAGAAGGTAGTTTGAATCAGTTGTATTGGAGCAAAAACTCCTGTAAAACTGGCAGGACACCAGCCCTTGACGACCGAAGCTGCACACCAATGTTTTAACAAATTATCCGAAACTATATTAATTGACAAAGTACGTGACATTTATTTTAATGAAAGTCTTGGGGAAATAATTGTTCAAGTGTGCCAATTATGTCACAGTAACAAATTTCTCTGTCTTTATTTCCTGCATATTTTATTGCACTTTATCAAAAACTTGAACAGAAAAAAAAAAGCAAATAGCAAAGGTTTTGAAAGTGGGTTGTAACACAGTAATACGCATGTGTGCGAATGGCAGAGACATTTAGCAAAGACATACAAGTAAAACCCAGAAAATGTTTGAGAGAAAGGTTAATTAACAAATGCTATAAATGCCAGGGTGCAGCCACCAACGGTGTAAAAGTTATACCAGTACCTTTTCTGACTTCACCTTACAATCATATTACATCAAGTGAATGTGAAGTTTGAATTTTGATTTATGCCCACATAAAAGTCAATAACATAGCAATTTGTCATTGAAAACAATAGTAATTCAAATTCAAAAGAGTTCCTACAAGTTTTTAGACCAGAACACTTCTCAGAGGTTTAAAGGACCTAACCTACATACTGATATCCAAGTATTGGTGTACCGTGGGAAACTTTTCCAGTTTTATCCCGTTACCAGGGTGGCAACAGATTGCATGGGTAAAATTTATCGAGGAAAATGACCCTGAACCTTTGTGATGGAGTTTAGTGGAGAGAAGGATGTTGAGTGTTTTTGGACGATTGAATTTTCTCGGCTTTTTGTGATAGTCATCGCTGTTTAATTTCATATGTTCTACTTGCAAATACATTTTCAATAAGATGCACAGAAGAGACAACTCAAACAAAACATAGAAACATTTTATAGTCTTAAATCCAATGCTATAACATTGTGTGATCCAATGCATAAATTAAAACCATAACATCACCCATACAAAGCGTATCGTTAATCAATTTTTAATTTTATAAACAATAGAGATGCTGCTGCTACATTGCTTTGGAATATGTTGCACCAGTTTAAATTGTTGCACTTCAATTGATTAGCAATTGTTTCCAATGTGAAGTAAATGCAATTTTGTTTCAGAGTTAAATTGTAAGAATTGGCCTTAATGGCAGGGAATGTGGAAGTCTATGAAGTTCATCTAAAACCTGTAACAGTTGTACCTTTGCTCAGAGTTTGGTGAAACTTAAGAAAAGGTATAGAGCGAAGAGTCTTTGAAATTATTGTCAAAAAAGATTTATTGCAAAAAATATGTCTATACTTGAATGGGACTATTTTTTTCCCCTTTCTCCCAAACACATTCAATGACATTCAACAAGCAGAAGAAATCAGAGGACCAATCCCCTAACGAGTTGCATAAGTTAATATGAACAGGACAAAAGTCAAAACGGACACGACTAACAGACTGAGGGATCAGTGTAACATAATTAAAAGTTTTAAAGGTTTGGGGTAACATAATTGAAGCATGTAAATGAATATGCTTAATCAATCAAGGTACAAGATCATAGAGACGGAAGTTCTCAATTTGTGGTTAGTATAGTCTTCCCATTAAAACCAAAGTTTTGTACATAAACACTCTTGTAGAGAATGATTGACCCATCTCCTAAGCAAATTTTTGTTAAAAAATTCAAAGACATAATTTTGTAATTTACCCAGACAACATGAACAATGTGGTGACAAATTTATGCTGTCATTAGGACGACTAGTAATATAAGTGTAGAGGAAAAGAATGAACTCTTTTCAATATATTTCAGGAGAAAAGAGAGGACAATGGCTGGTCAACTTGAAATAACCGTTATAAAAATGTCCCTTTTCTACTGAAATAACATCTCAAAATCTATTTTTTTTACTATGTTCCTATGAACATTATTTAGGTAAGTAAATAATGCTGCTGACTACTTTAAATCATTGTTTCTCCCGAAGGCTACATCACTAAAGATCCACTGACCAGTTTCAAACAAAGCACACTGTGGTAACACATTTCATAAAGTACTGAGATGGTTGTATCTTCTTCAAATTTATGTAGACATTATGTTTTAATAGATATATAAAAAAAATCAATCTATTTTTAGAAAATATTCTGGCAGCACAACATCAACCACTCCACCGTCTGACTGCTAGTAATTCAACCTATTAACACCCCAACTCTCAACATGTAGAGGAACTTAACATGGCCGTACTCCACCTCTCAACTTCCATTAAACACTGATGTCTCTAATGAAAGCCCTTCTTCCACAGACAGTCAGGCAGTAATGAACAGCTGAACCACGAGGCCATGCAGAAATACTGACTCCACTGAGTGTTTCAGTTTGATTTTCTGCAAGGGATTCATCACCACTTGGCTGTAATGTGAGCAGGACCTAGATGGGGGTGTCAGTTTACATTTTTGCAGCATAGCTTTCCCCCCAAAAGGAGAGGTGAAGAAGGGGACTGGCAAAAACCCTTCTACGATGACAGCCTGGTGTCAGGGCAGGTGGACATGGAGCTGTGTGTTATAGTCCCTTCTATAACTCCCCGTTGTGTTCTTCCCTGACATCAAAGCCGTCATTGAGAAAAGCTTCTTTCTCTATTGACATGACTTCCAATTCATGATCATGATTAAAACCATTCATCTCTGTTACCAGAGACAGGTGAGCGGAGGCCGCCTCTGAGCTGTGACGAATGCCATAACAGAAGTAGATGAATAAACCTGCAAAGAAGGAAAAAGACAAAATATGGCTTGTATCATACACTCTCGTGATGAAAAATCTGTTAAAGTCTTAACTAGGCTGTAGTATGTTTTCATGTAAATGACACGTGATCAAGTCTTCCTAGTTTGAGTTTTGCAGTCCTTCTCGGTAGATATTTTTTATTAAGGCAATGTTAAAGAAAAGCCTTCTAACACTACCTACCTGCAATTGTGATATCACATTACATTGTGCAAACAAAGCTCCAATCAGCTTTGCAAAGAAAATAATTTTCTAATGTTCAACATAAAAATGATGCATAATAACGAAAGAGGTACGAGTACCTATAGCCATCCAGATGGAAAATCTGACCCATGTTCCTCTGTCCAGTTGCATCATCAGGTAGACATTGACAAACATGCTCATGACTGGAATGAAAGGCACCAGGGGAACCTGGGAAATAGGACTGCATTACCACACACGAACGCCCTGGAAAATGTGCATATTTATTCGAAAACCTTTAAAACAAATAGATTTTGGAAGCTTGGTGACAATTCTCTAAAAGGAGATAAGTTAATATACTTCTTTGACCCCCCCTAATATATAGAAATATATATATTTATTTAAATTTATTTACAACTAAAATAAACAATTACTTTATTTTAAGGTTTTGTACACTTTTTGTCCATCATAGCCAAACATTAAACTGTTAAATTTAATTAGCATGCCATAGTACTAAAATGGTCTTCAAGCCTAACCTTGAAGGAGAGTTTTGTTTTACTCTCAGGCTGCCTCCAGATTATGAAAACCAGAACGAGACACACCATGAAGATCACACTCAGGGCTACCATGTTCCATGAGGCGAGGCCTCCATGCACAGCCAATATACTGAAGGCCAGGATCAGCATTCCTGCAAAAGCACATATCAGAGAGTTTGTAAATTCAGACAAACATAATTTAATTTTGGACTTATTTAATGTACATTAAATCAGCTGACTTAATTTTAAATAAAGACTCCTGCTTGTTTATCCTATGAATTCAAATATGAAACTGGCTCTTGAGAAGGTATAAAAGCCAAGAAACACAATGTGTTCTGTTTGTTCACTTTTTCTTCTGTCAAATGTGACTAAAAAATGGCTATTCCATAGATACAACTCAAAGAGGCTACTTCATAAATAATTCATAATTTCCTAAAATAACTGAGTAATAACAAGATTGATCCTTTGTTCTTGTCATGAAAAGACAAATGGGCTCTTAAGACTAATTATTTTTCTGCTTTGTCTTGCACGAAAACATACCTATGGCAGAGGTACACATTTTAACAATGAAGCCTGACAGCGTGGACGGCTCAGGGTTGTTCGGATACAGAAGAGTCTGGAAACTGAATCTTTCCTCCACACCAGGAAGGATGCCCATACTGGATACACATATCCCATCACTGCAGTCTGCCTCATCATGGGTATTGGCTATCTGGTACGCTGGACTGTGGATCTCTGGCTGGTATCTGGAAAAAAAAAAAGAAGCACACATTAGCACATTTCTCAATTAGATCAATAGAAAATCTAAATACCACATATTCACTGCTGCTGTTCCAATCGTAACAATGTAAAGCAGTAGTGATCCTTTGTAAAGGAAGTGTTAATTAAAATGACAGCTCAACTACACATTATGAAACAAATGAAAAGTGAGTGAAACGTTTCGTGTCAGAACATTTTCACAGAGAACAACACACGACTTTGATTGGTTAAAAATCCAATCAAAGTTGAAGAAATGTATAAATAAGACTGTAGATTTGGACAAAACATTTCTATTATGAAAGTTATAAAAATAGAAGTCAGGAAATTTAAATTTAGAATTAAAAAATTTGACTACACAGATTCGGTTTTATAATGTGCAAATGTTAATGAAGTAAATGTTGAAACACAATTACTCCAAATCCCACTAATTTGGTAACTAATGTCATAAATTACCCCCAACGTGTATGTGTTTTTTTAATTTTAAGAATGAACAATTTTGCAACTCTATCAGTATTTTTTTCTTCTTCTTGTAACACAAAGTAAAAGAAAAAAAGACTTGCATGACTAGATAGAAGATTCTGCTTTGTTCTGCTTTGTTCCAGTGAGACTTTTATGATCCATTAAGAATCAACTAAGTAAATTTTCCTTTGGGTTCCACCTAGAATTTTTGAATAAAATAGTCCAAACTGACCTTAGCACCAGCACACAGGCGGCCACTAACGTATAGGCCAACAGCGTTCCTATTGACATGAGGTCCACCAGGTCCTTCAGGTCAAACAGAAACGCCATGATTGCTAAAAATGTGTAAAAAAAAAAAAAAAAAAAAAAAAGCAAAAAAGGGCTCCTGTAAGAACGGTGCAAGCTTGAAGATAAATATTTTTGAAAGAGCAAAATTGAAAAAGTACTCAAATGTTTTAACATTCACGGACATCAAATCTAATAAACATCCATTATGTTATTTCTTTCATTATCTAATTCTGACTGGAGAGTTTGTGTGCGTATATGTCTCAGAAATTATTGATATACAATCTATCATGGAACTGTTTCAACTGTTAATGCACAGGATAATGGTTACATGAACTTTCATGATCATGTTAAGATCTATTATGTTAAGGTCTTACTGTTACACTATTACAGTGTATCATGTCTTTAGTTCATTAATAATAAATTATCAGACCTGACAGGGAGACATGTAAGAGCCTTAAACATAACATGTTTATTGTCTTTCATTCATGTATGAAGTTTTTTTTTTTTTTATCCACTGACAATATGGCTAAAAAAATAGAACTCTAGAAGAAGAACATCATGGTGGTAATGTACTGAAATGTTGCACTGTGAATGTCACTGATTTTTTCTTTTAAATTCTTCCGTATTTATTTCTTAAATCATATAAAACCCTTAATCTGATCTTTCTTTGGTGCCATTTGAATCCCTAGATGCCTATTGCTAACTGCTCTCAGTAAACTTAATCATCTAAACTTTGCTCTCTTTTAGATCTCTGTTCACGTTTCCCCTATCGTTCCGCTGCCGTTTCCATGACTCCGACTCTCTCTTTTCTTCCTGGTTTGCATTTCCTACTCCTCTTACCAGACATGACCCCAGCCGCAACAGTAGAGTTTATGGGTGCCTTCCTCTCGCTGATATGGGCCAAAAAGGAGAAGAGAAGGCCATCTCGTGCCATGGCAAAGATGATACGGGGTAGGGGGAACATGGAACCCAAAAGACTGGGGTAGAGTGAGGAAAACATAAGATTTGGGAGATAGTTGTTGGTAAGTGGAGGGAAATATGGGGGAAGAAAAGAAAATGCTAGCTTGAAAAAAAAAAAAAAAAAAGCCGGCAATGTATGGATTGGAAATGTGAGGCAGAAAAATGCGCAACAGGGTTTTCAGGCTGGAGTCAGTATAGCGCAAGGGGACATGATGCTGTTTGTCAAAAGTTCTTTGAATGATGCCATGTAATCATGCAAGGCTCCACATGCTATTATTCTTCATTGCAAATTGTATTTGTGTATGAAGCTTTGCTTGGTGGATTTGTTTTTACAAGATGCAGGTTCAAAATATAACAAAGTTTCAAAACAGAAAGATAGTGGAACATAATCTGTGATAGACTGATAATAGGACTGATAGGAGAAATAACACACCTAGACTACAATAAGCTACACCAGTGGCGGTTCTTGCTTGAACAGCACCGAAGGCAAGAAAAGCTTGCCCTTAAGGAGGCCATACTTTTTTAACAAAGCTCCACAGAAATGCTGACAGTTTGCAAAAAACACTATTTCTTAAAATTTCAAGATTTGTATTTTTTAGTGTAGCATCAAGGTACTGTAGGGGTTTATCTGCCCAGCCCTCCCAGCCCGTCTTCCAATGTCTCCCTGTACATTTGTTTTTTGTTTCTATCAAGCTCCACCACTAAGCAAGACCTTTCAAGAGAAGGAAATAGAACACTGGCTATAAAACAGTGAACAAGACCCTTCAATGATCAGGGAACTGATTTCTGCCAGGTGTTAACATCTCCAGCTGACCGTCTGGAACATTAAGCCCAGCACAACTCAGTCCTTAAGCATGGAAAGAAGCTACAGGATGCAAAATTAGAAACATGCATGTTAGTGTCTCACCTGCCCCTATGCCAGAGGCAAAGGTTGCAGTTAGTGGGGTTTTGGTGCGGGGACTGATCTCAGCCATGAACTTGAAAAGCAGCCCATCATCAGCCATCGACCACAAAACACGAGGCATAGGAAACATTGCGCCCAGCAGGCTGCCATGGGGGGGGGGAGACCAGGATATATAGTATCCACACTTCACTTACATCCAAGAGAATGATATAAGACATACATGAACAGAGACAACAGCTCAAACATCGAAGAAACACAGAACAGCGTGAATGTAGCAGAATAAGGAACAGCGTACATACAGTACTGTCAAAAAGTTCTGAGGCCTCTTACTTTTTAATGTTGTGCTTCCAAAGTGCCAGACTTTCATGTTATTTGCCTTTGACCTCCAATATACTTGATATAGATTCTGCAGTAACTGAGCATGGTACATAAAGAAAGTTATCTTTACTAAGAAATCAGCTACGTCTATTTTAGTTAGTCTTCCAATTTGTCTTATGTGTTAGTTACTTTTTTATGTATTGTTGCTTATAGATCAGAGATGCAAGCAATAGACTAAAAGGTAGAATAAATCAGCTTTTGTCCGATAAATAAATAAATAATAATAAAATGACTAAATTTACAAAGACTTGCTTGACACCACCCTAAAATATTACAAAAACACCTGACTCTTCAAAACAGAGAGAGAGAAAAAAACAGAGGTTCCTCAAAACTTTTGAACAGCACTGTAATATCTTGTGTTCTGAGAATCAATGCAGACACATGCAGGAAAATGTTAAATACATAGTTATTTAATAAAAAAAAAAAAAAAAGCTACCTTGAGTGAAATTATACTGCACACTTCATTGTAAGAATATAAATGTTACATGTCATTCGCACTAACCATATAAAAATAATTAACAATTGAGCTAAACATAAGAAAAACTGCTACTTAATAAGTCCTTGTTACATTTCAGACACTTACACTTACGTTACAAATAATTGGTCAGTGGAGCTTTTATTTTTAGATAAGGAGTCAAATTCCGTTTAAAGCTAAATATACCTACAGCACACATACAGAAAGCGTGTAGGCGCACACAAGCGTGTTTATATATGCCTGCACATGCACGTCTGCATGTTTCTCTGTAGCCTTTATCACATGTGAGCAACGGTGTTCAAAAGACTGTCTTCTTTACACAACAGCTTATCAGCACTTTGTCTGACAAGACTGGGTCTAGAAACGTTTACAAGATCTGCTTTAGAAAAATTCAGGATGAGGCATGCAGTAATCCTGTGAACATTATTTTCTTTATAACAAATTGAAAATAGCAGTTGAAGGAGTTGTTTTTATATTAACGAGACGTTAAAAGATCCAATCTTACATTGACATGTTAGCTCTCCAGCCTAGATTGTAGATGTTTACTTTAAGACCTACAGTATCTGTATAAAATGATCTAAAGTGCATATGTCTAAAAGGCTCAAGTGAAAACATGCCACAGATGTATGGATGGAAAAGTTGATACGGTGTGAAGTTCTTACCTGGTAGACAGAGCACAAAGAGAGCCTACAGCTACAGCATATTTGGCTCCTCCCCAGCCTACATATTTAAAAGCTACAGGCAGAGGGCTGTTGCTGTCCAGAAGATAGTATGGCATCATGAGGGTGAGGGCAGCAGAAACACCAAAGTAAGCAACGAAACAAATCAGCAGCGAGGACACAATCCCAATAGGAATGGCTCTTTGGGGGTTCTTCACCTCCTCGCCTGAAGTTTGCAAAAATAAAAAAACACAGTTCAGTTTATCTTCAAACTCTGTGTTGGCCACTATTACTGGTGTAGAGAAAAATAAATTGTTTAGGAAATGCAAAAAGCAAACCAAAAAACAAATTGAAGAAGTAAAAAAAAAAAAAAAAAACTTACAATAATTTCAGAAAAGAGTATTCAAGGCAACTTGAACACATTAAAACAGACTTAATGTTGTTGGTTTAAAAGTGGGTTTTAGCATCAGATAAAATGTTTTAGCGTAGAACGTTGTACAGCTTCACCTTGATCATAGTGAAATGAGTTTTGCCCAGACAAAAAGGGCTTAGGAATGGCAAAATTTGTATTTTGTAAAATGATGCATTTATGTCACCTTCAAACATTCTGAACAAGACCAATATATTTTTATGCAAAAAACAAAAAAAAAAAACAAAAATAAAAACAGCATGTTTAGAAATCAATGAAATAAAATTCTCAAATTTGCAACTCAGAGTAGTTGAGCCTGAAACCCCTCCAACAGCTGTTGCGCCACTGTTGGCGAGATGTTTTTGTGTTGGCATGAGTCCAGTGCATGTAGAAAACTGTAAAACTTCAGCAATAATTTAAGGGTTTTCTCCATGTGAGCCAAAAAAGAAAAGAAGAACTAATATGTCAGAGAGCATGTAAGCTAGTGTAAACCTTCCTTTCCCTCCAACATAGAAGTCTTGGATCCATTACAGCAATCCACAAACATAATGCAGAAACACAAAGATCTATTCACATATGTTAATTTGAGGAGTTTAGAAAAAGTCTGGACAACATCTTCTTAAGCTGAATCTCTCCCCTTTCTGCGTCACAGCCTTTGGCATCCTGCCACACAGAGAAGTGGGCCAAATGCATGAAAAGTGCACCTTCTCTCCCTCTCCCTGGCTACTCTTATGTAATGCTAGCAACTAATAGTCTTCCAACTGCAGATTCTGCCTCATGCAATATACCCCAACTCCAGCCTATAAATGAAATCCAGTCAGAGTGAAATGGAGATAAGAGAAATGCTTAGATGGAAGCAGATCTATTGCAGAAAGTTAATTGAGAGCAAAGATATTCTGATTCGAAAGAAAGTTCTCACCAACATGTCAGAGCAGATGTTAAGGATAATACGCAAAGACTTTGAAGTTATGAGTTGAAGAAAAGACTCTGTTGGGTGGCATGGAGGTGTTTCTTATGCATCATTTCTCCAAGAAACACCATTTTAATTACTCTACTTAAATCACTATCTCTAAAAAGATAATAAAGCACAATGTAAAGTAAACAATTTTAAAGTAAACCGATATGGCATAACATTATGACCACTGAAAGGTGAAGTAAATGCCACTGATTTTCTGCTGCCAACATCTTGGTGCCAGATCCCACAGCACTGCTTCAGGTGTCTACTGGGCTCCACAACTGTAGGCTGGGGCTCCTTTGGCAGCAAATGTGGGATTTACTCACAATTAGACGGGTGATCATAATGTTCTGTCTGATCTCTGTAATTTGTTATTAAAATATTCGCTGGAAAACACTTTCAGACACATTTTGAAAAGGAAAGATCACAAAAAGCGGAGAAAGTAGTTTCAAAGTGTTTCATCCATCACTGACCTGTGGTGGCGATGCAGTCAAAGCCTACAAAGGCATAGAAACACGTAGCAGCTCCTGAAAGTACTCCTGTGAAGCCAAACGGCATAAAGCCACCCTGTCCTATTCTCTCCTTAGATGGCAGAATGTCAGTCAAACTGCATACAAAAAGCACAAAAATATACATATTTTTAAAGATAAACATCTCTAAAACATCTTGGGCACATTAAGGTAAGTTTGGAGTCATGTTCTTACTTTTGGCTTGAGCTATTCGTATGATTAACATGTAGGATCTCCTCTGGATCGACTTGCCAGTTCTTCAAAGTGCCTTTGACCAGCCCAGAGACCACCATGAATAATAAGACTAAAACGTTGACACAGGTAAACACCTTATTCACCATCGCTGACTCCTTCACTCCAAATGCCAAAAGACCTTGCAAATGAAAACAAAAAGAAAATTAAACAGAGAAACAAATTAGAAAGCCATATTATATATAGAAACATTTCAATATACAGTACATAGAAATTTGCTTGTCAACCAATCAAATGACAAAAACTCAATACATGTAGCCAACTAGAAGTGGTGAAGATGACTTGCTAAAGTTGAGGCTGAACATCAGAAAGGGAGAGAAAAAGGGATTAAAGTTGCTATGAAAGTGGCATGGATATTGTTATCAAAATGACCTGAGCATTTCAAAAACAACTAATTTACTGGAATTATCACCTTGCAGGCTTACACAGAATAATCTAGACATAATTCAGAGAATGCAGTTGTGTGGACTAAAATGCCTTGAGGGCAGATTGAATAGCCAGATTGTTTAGAGATGAAAGAAAGGACACAGTTGCTCTAATAAGCACTTGTTACAACTAAAGAATGCTGGATATCATCACTGAAAGTGCAACACATTTAATCTTTAAACGGATGGTCTACAGCAGCAGAAAACCTAACCAGTGGCCACTCCTGTCAGCGAAAACAGGAAACTGAGACTATGATATACACAGGCTCCCCATAATTGGACTGATTGAAAAACATTATCTGGTCTGGTAAATCTCAAAATTATCTCAAATCTCACCTCAAATTGGTTTCTAAAAAAATTCTATGAGTACCCTGTACTCTATGGTGGAAGGATTTGCATCTTGGATGAGCAGCTGACAAATCTGCAGCAGCAGTGTGATGTTATGTTATTATGAAACCAAAATGTCCATGTTAATCCAATGGAAACTTTACACAGCAACATGGTTGTCCAGCCTCACACAATCAAGATCTACACAATGACATAGTCAGTAAGTGTTGAGGCAAAAGAAGATGCAGACAGGGAGATGTTCCTACCTGTAAGAATAAATATGATGAGAACTGCAAACATGTCAGGGTATTCTGCCAGCACACCTGGTGCATTCATAGACATGTGTTCTCTGCAGAACTCCTCAATGTGTTTCCCTACCAACTCATCAAAGGTGGCGCTCCATGCACGGGCAACACTCGAGGTACCTGGAGCACAGAAAGTTCAGTCTTCGTTCTCAAATCAGTTGTTCTCCCTTAACAAACATGAAATGACCTAAAATATCTTGACTTAACCCTAAAAAGACACTCATTGTAGAAGTTATACCGATTTACCAATAATGTAAGAGAGAATGAGGTTCCATCCAGTAATGAAAGCCCAGAGTTCTCCGACTGTCACATACGAGTAAAGATAAGCAGAGCCCGTCTTCGGGACACGGGCTCCAAACTCAGCATAGCAAAGACCTGCCAACACAGAGGCTGAGGCAGCTATCAAGAAAGACAGGACGATAGCAGGACCTGGAAAGATATGATACAATCAAAAATCTGGAACTATGTTCTCCGAAAATTAAAACTTTTACATCAGCAAGGCTGATTAATTTACCTGAATTGTCTCGTGCAACAGCACCAGCAAGCACGTAAACACCAGCACCCAACGTGCTTCCCACACCCAGGGCTACCAGGTCGAAGGTGTTGAGACATCGAGACAGACGGGAGTCCTCGGAATTCGAGTTCACCACCTTCACCCTTAGCAACTGTTTTCCAAAACGCAGAAGTTTCTCCAGCACCATGGTTTGCAGACTGGTCTCAGGAGGGGAGAGTACTTCAGAGGTCACAGGGGGAGAAAGAGGAGGCTGCACACACCCTAAGGGGGAAAAGAGGATAAAAGATAATGTTCTGACTGGAGTATATCTGAGTGAATATGTGGAACGTGCACTCTAAATCCTGCCAGTAAATGTAGACTGAAGTTGCTGAAGTATTACAGATTTGACAAACAAGTCTACAAATCTCTGATGGGAGGACAAGGTGGTTTTGTGGGAGGTTACGTAATGTAAATCCACTACATGTGGCTGTAAAGCAAAGAAACAGTTAGTGGAACAGAGTGATGTCTTTGGGAAAACCTTGCTATTGGACATATTGCTGAAATGTTATGTAACCACAACTCACAAAGGACAGGGGAACGCTCCTTAGCATAGTGTTCAACAGACAAACATCTGCATTACATGACCAAATGTCATGACCAAATGTCATACCTCTACATCCATAAAAGTTACCTATGGACCAACTACCCTAATAATAAGATTCTATACTTGCTTTTAAAACTAAAGTAAAAGAATGAAACAAATAAGAATATTGGTTCAATGTGGACAATGTCAAGCAATGCAGGTTAAGGTCCAACAGTCTGGTTAAAAGATTGGTACATCTCACGGTGAAAATGGAGTAGAGTGAGTGACATGCAGTGACGCTGTGACCATGTGACACATGTCAACGTAATGGCACCTTGTGAGGACACTCTGACTTAATGGCATAAACCCAGAAAGGTTTCCATGTACACAATGTACCCTTTCCTCTTTCCTTCCTGGAAACATTCAAGTTCAATTTTCCAACTTTGCCATTCGAAACACATATGGAAAAATGGGGTTTTAAGGTTTTGTGTTAGAAAATTATTTTTGTAAGAAATGGAAATTAGATGTTCAGCAGGCAAAATATCCCTTCACAGAAGCTGATAAGTCACTGAAGACAAAAACGTCATAACTTAAACTGTAACATGTTTGTGGCAATAGACTGATGATGAAGCCTTGATTAAAGTTTGTGGCAGTTGCCAAAAACTTTAAAATAACATCTTCCCATTGGTAATATTTTCCACAAACAACTTCTATAATTTCAAAGGTCTATGCTGTAAATTAGATACCAACTCCACCATCGTTAGTCACATGGTGAGGAAGTACTCTGTATACAAAACTCAGAAAAAAAAAATAGTTCCAGATACTAACCTTTTTCCTTGTCAAACAGTCATCCCTCCCCTCAGGCTGTGCTTACCCATAATCATATTGCCCTATCAGACCCAATCAATGATTGCAAAGTCATTTTAGAGGTCATTAACATTAGTACTTTCAGGTTGTAGATGTGTTTCACAGATCATTGATGCTCACATGGTGTTACAGTTAATAAATTGTGCTTAAACCAGCTGGAAAACAGGCTGGATGCTCATGAGAAATGTTTAGTAAGTTATAAAGGGTGCAGGTTCTCTTCCCTTAGGCAAACAAATCCCTACACAGTCTCAAAATCAGCAACAGTTGACTGGTTGATCTGCAAAATTTGGTCATAATACTCTATATGCTTAGGTTTTCATCAGTGTAAATGATAAGGCAAAAATATGATCTCTTACATAGAGGGAATCATAACCCATCAAAACAATCTTTGGTGTCTGGGGCAAATAAAAATGGTAAAAGATAATCACTTGGTATGGATTATGGTAAAAATCGAAAGCAAAGTTTTGAACTTACCAGAAAACAGTGTCGGCTGCACTTTAAATGTCGATCTATTTGTTAGATTTTAAATTAATGATGACAGGCGTGGAACTCGAAAGCATATTTGCTAACTTTTCTTTCAACTGCTGTCAGAAGAGCAAACCTTTAGATGGGTAGGATTCTAAAATAGAATATGGAAGAATCACATGGCTTTGCTATTCCAAGCAGCCCGTAGTTGAGCACGAGCATGCAAGGTCAAAAAGTTGCAGTCACACTACCAAATTTTCTACATTTGGCAGAAATTTTCTGTTTTATTTCTTTTTGCAAGTGTTGCAGTACATAACTCTTACACACAAGCTTAAATGCCATGCCCACCCAATCTGAACAACAAAATGCTTACGTTTACGGAGACCACTCATAAATATCACAATTTCCAACAGCAGGAATTACTGTGACAACTGCAATCTTGCTTTGTGATGCATGGCCTCTTGTCCTCCACACAGATGCATTCACCGAACCTACTGTATGTATCAAAAAATACTTTGACAACTATAAATCAGATGTCAGAAAAGTGGAAGCAATGCCCCTCAGAGGAGGGGCATTGATCAGCAAGTAGGGGTGTGATCCCTAGGAACCAATTAAAATTCACCCTGCATTTAGCACAGTTCCACACTGCAAACTGCTATGTCATGGCTAAAGTCATGTCCATTGCTACTTTGAAAGATGGAATTTCAATTTAAAAATGATTAAGAGTCTATATTTTTATGTCATATATGAAACTGGAATAATTTTGGTAATCATAGCTGGTCAAAAGCAGTAATTTAATCTCAGTGATTAAAAAAACATCTTTGTTTTACACTCTATGTAAATATCCAGTTTCAACTCTGAGTCCTGCTCTGGTGTTCCTTTTAAAGGTCACGTCTTTCAGTCTTGCTCAAGAGATAAAATAACTGACCTAAAATGGAGGTGGCTAGGTGTGCTCTTCCATTTCCCTTTCAGTTTACCATATTTGTGTATTCAACAATGCGTATCAGTCATTCAGGCCAGAAAGGCTGGGAGGACAGACAATGTCATTAGTTGCACCACCTCCATTGAGCAATGCAGGACCAGCAACACTCAACAACTCAGACCAAAATGTTTCCCACACAAACAGAGAGTATCCACAATGACGGAGTTTTATCTTAGCAGCACCCATGCAGTTTATTCTTGGAATATCTTTGTTAAGTAAAAACATACCAATACCCCACAGGTCATTCAATTAGCTGACTGCCAAGTTTTAAACATATAACAGAATGCTTTATAGTCAAAAGGAAAAAAAAAAGACAGACAAGATTCCTTTGTCTGGCTAGATTAAAAACCCACAGATGATTTTCAGAGAAATAATCATATATTTTTGGGAAACAAAAGCTCGACTTTTACCACAATTCACTTCATCAACAGATATAGCAGAAACAGACACCTTTTGTTGAATGCACTATCACTGAGAAAAGTGGATACATATTTGTTGTGAGAGGAGACAGCGTCATTGACGCATAAGTGTGAGTTGGCATAATTTTAGTTTGTACATGTACAACACAGACAAAGACGGCAGAGGACGTCTTGGTTCACTGAGAGTGAAGTTCTTTCTCAGAATTTCCATCTGTTGACATCGCAGTGACTCGACAGAACAAATGCACAACATACGCCCGTGACACAACATCCAGTTTACGCTGGTCTTAACAAGCTCACGCTGGACCAGAGATGAAATATGAAGCTCTGAATTTCACTGAACCTGGAAAGCTTCCGCAGACTCACACTGGAGCTCCCTGCAGAAGTGTGGTCTGAAACTTTGCCCACTACTGACCTACTTCGGGACTTGCTAAAGTTAGACTGAGTGAAGCTGATCTGAACTGTTGCTTTTGGGATCTGAAAGGTCAGAACTCGCCCAGCCATTCTTTAAAAAGATGCACTTTTCTTGAAGACAGCATGTGGGTCAGCTTCTCCTGTCTTCCATCAGAAAATAGCCATACAGTAGTCCAATGCTGCTATCTGAGACATATACAGAGCACCAGTTTCTAGAAAAAAACAATTTATATCTGAGGACTTGGACGTTATGTAAAATATATAAGTAATTTGACATGACAGAGTACTTCTATTCCACATTGCATATTTACATAGGACAAGCCAATAGGATGTTTAAAAATATAGCTAAAATAAACGTATTTAGTCAGTGAGGTGGATTTTAAAGATTTGTGGAAGCTTGTGATAGCCTATCCTGACTGAAATGAGACTAAATAAAAATAATTGGTTCAATTTCAGTTTGTGTGAACGGCTTAGAAGCTAACCAAACGCGCATTTCTTGATGCACTTACTTGATTGTGACAGACCAAATCCATGCTTTGCAATGTCTACTCAGACAGACAGACCACATGTTGCTCTCACTCTGCAGACCGCATTCATAGCCCACCCCCGGTCAGATCATCTGGGTTCAAACCTCTCCCCACACCAGCACTCGGATCAGTTTTAAGAAATCCAGCACAGTAGCAGCCCTATTTAAATCTCATCATTCCTATAATGTAAAAGTCACCGCATGGCTCCCCGTAGTCTCCAAATAATATCGGTATTATGTCTGTGGAAAATGCAAAAGTAAGTGTGAATGCAAGCCGTGTTTGAGGAGTTAGCACATTATGTAACTCCGTGGAAGTCCCTCTCTCGTCCAACATCAGAAAAAAAAAAAAAAAAATTTAAAACTGAAATAAAACTAAAGACACAAGCGTGTACTATCCGCTCTAGGGGGCGAGGGGAGAAACACCTTAATTTAACCTGTAAGAAAACATTTTAAATCTTTAAGTTAAGCGCACAACTTAAAAATAATCTAACAGGGAATACAAGAATATTTATTTACACTTTAGTAGAGCCAAATCCCCGTCAGCCTGCAAGGAACAGCTCCAACATACGCGTTTCCAGAGGTCTGTAGAGTCCACAAAAAGTGCCGTGACAAGCTCTTAAAAAGTATTAAAAATGTCCGTAACGGTGGTTGGGAACTTTGTGATGTTTAGGTAGTACTTGCTCTGTACCAGCGCGTTCAGATGGAGGAGGGGATTCATGGAGAGAACCAAATGCAGCTCCGCCCGTTCATTCGCATTCATACTGAGCAATTACTCTACTCAGTATAGCTTGCTCTCTGTTTTTAACAGGCTTAAGAGACATACATAAACAAATGCTTCAAAATTTTAATAGGCCTGCATCTTATCCTTAATTTGAATGCTCTGTAGAAGTAAAAGAGCACACCACAAAATAAATAAAATCTAATGAATAAAAAAAAAAAAATCATTTGTGGGGTATATTTGGTTCTCAATAAATTACAGTATCAGTGAAAAGTGTATTTCAGTGATTCAGGTCAAAAAGTGAAACTTGGATACATGTTAATTACAAACAGATATATTTTTATTAGTTTATTTTGATATAAATATTACACAAAATATTTTTTTCAACACAAATGTTGTGGCTTACAGTCTAGCAAAGACTGCTGACCTAACAGTCAATGAGTGCTGTATCAACGCGCTGTAATGGAAAATTGAGTGGAAGAGAAAAGTGTAGTAGAAGCACCAGTTATCGAAAGCAGGAATAAGAGAAATCTACAGAAGAGAAACAAAGCCGATTCAAGTATTTGTGCCAAATTCAAAAGTCATGTTGACAAAATCTGTGCTTCAAGACCCACCCCACACTGACATCACAGACATGGCCACCGCTGACAAATTCCTTGTATTATGCCACTCCTGTACCAGACAGCATCAGAACCATCTTACCTGGGCTAAGGGGAAAACAGGCTGGACTGGTCAGAGATCGGAAGCAATCTATCAGGCAAAAAAAAAAAAAAAAAAACATGTCAATGTTTTCTAAGTTTAAATAGGGAAGAAACTGAATAAAATACAGTCTATATTAGCAACAACACAAGCAAAAATTTAAAAACTCTAAGCAAAGTAATTATAAAGGAAGTTATGGGTGAAAAACATGACTGATGAATGGAATAACACAAAAAGGCATAGAAAGTCTAGAAAACAGTTGTAGACCATCAGTACTTAGACAGCATTCCTTTTGCTATAAGCAAATAATATCAAAAAAGCAAACTCACTGCACAAGAATCCATTGCAGAAGAAAAATTACATTGAAGCCGTTTTAAAGTTTGTTGTAGAACATTTAGAAAGCCCAGTTTAGTACTAGAGAAATGTCTGATCAGGTGAGGTTAAAGCTGAAATGACAACAATAAAGACAAATGATATCCTTGATAAAAATCGAAAGATGAAGCAGGTGTGGATTTCCAAGTAAGACAGTAGTCCAAAAAAACATGTCTTGACATATTTTACAGAAAGGTAAACTGCTAGAACGACCAGACTGTTTTCTATAAACTTGAAAGTTTGTGGTAAAGATCAGTCGTACACAGAAATCACCACAAAACCATCATGATTTGAAGAGTTTGCGTGAAAGACGAGGTCAAAATCAAAACTGACCAATTTATGACTAATTTCTTAAAACAGATGTTTTGAAGTAATTACAAAACAGTTTCTCTACAAAATGTTTCATACACACTCCAATTATTTTCCTAGTCATTTTAGGAGTAATTTGCTTTATTTGGTGTTGAAAACTCACGAAAATGGCTCGGACAAAACTAACTTTACATTAAAAAACCCTGCATATGTCTTTCAGCTCTGACCAAAAATATGAAAAGCCAGAACAGAAGGCCGGAAGAGGTTGGCTATAATAGCTGAAATGAGCAGAATTGTTTTTGATGTGCACTCGAATATAAAACGAATCCAAGTAAGTCAGACGTTTTGAATTACTTGTACACGTTTTGGTGCTGTTGTACATTAGAACCTATATTTTCCCTTGAGGGCAGGAAGACAGCAATCATTTACAATCTATATTTTATTCACAGGCAAAAACACAATAGAAATATAACTTACAAACTACCAGAGCATTTTGGATGTGATGGAGGTGTTTATGGTTTAGACTGGGGTAAAAAAAAAAAACAAAAAAAAAAAAACAGTTACAGAGCGCAAATAACTTTTACCTTTTAACACAATCAGAACAAATGGGTCCATAGAGTAAATGCTGGCAGTCAAAAACTCAAATGGTGGAGTTAAGACTGCAGAGATAAAATATTTTCAAAATTGTACTCAAGATGACACATTTTTACTCCTAATAAATTAAGGGTTTTAAATTTCTTTTCAAAGTATACTTTCTGAGTTTGCAAGACAGAATTACATTTCGGCTTCGTGCCCATGGGCGTTCGAGAACGCTATACATCATTTACAATATTTACAAAAAAAAGTCCTCCAATCCTGTAGGTGTAACAAGTGCTGAGTTTAAATTCATGTGTGCAAATACACATTTTCCTAGATTCCCCCGTCGTTGGCGATAAAATGTTTAGAGCAGCACAAAATGTAGAGGAAAAATAGTCTCTGATTGTTTTCTGTTATTTCACTTCCATGAGCTGTTTAATGTCTTTAACGCCGTGCTCTTCTGCCACGGCGATGATGTGGTCCAGGGCGTTCACGCGTCCCAACATCCTCACCACTTCCCTTACTTGCTCCCTGATGGTAGACATGGGATGTAAGAAATGCATTATAACAACATGTAAAACACAATATAACAACTCAATTTTAACAAGGTAGTTAGATGAAACAACAATAGAAGCTATTCCAATTGAGACAAACCGTCTTCAGGGTTATTTAGAGCTACTTGCCTAGTGGTGCGCCGCTCGGTATCAGACGCTCCCACGCTGCTGCGGTGCAGCGTGTTGGCCAGGTGTGTGAGGTAGCGACACAGAGGCTCCAACTGGGGCAAGGTATGCTGGCCTTTCAGCCCAGAGAACCACTGGGCTGGCAAACACTCCATCACCTGAGAGGAGAACAGCAAATTATGTCACCAAGTTAAAAATAAGGAAAAGCTCACTACCTAATTTGTCAAGAGCTTTTCAAATGTAACTAAATATCTTTTTAAAAAATCCAATTTAAAATGAAAAATGCATCTGTGCTCAATATGTGGTTTTGTTTTGACATGCAATGCCTGTCACGTCGTTTCAATTAAGCCAAGAAAGACACACAGTTTAAACTCTGCATAGCAGAAAAAGGATATTCCAAATACAAATTATTTTCTTTATGTCTTTAGAAAAGAGACTTGTACACCTATAGGTTGAAACAACTAATTCTACTTATTTAATAAAGTTAGTAACATCAAATCTAATTCATTTATAAAGCACTATTTAGAGAACAAAACATTTAGGCCATTTCACATTCACAGAATTTAGATTTTGTTAATGCATGTTTACACAACAATGAAAAAAACTCCACACCGGCTTCTCCCCTTCACATAATTGGGACAGAAGACAGACAGGGAAAGACAACAAGTTCCAAACTTTTTTTTTTTTTTTTAATTTTCCATCTGAATTTCTCACCTTCTGGCACTTGTGCACATTCTCCTCCCCGATATCTGTGCTCTGCAGCGCAGACAAGATGTATCTGTTAAGAGTGCTGTCCAAAGCCAGATCCTTCAAACAGGAATAGGATAAGATGCCATCCCACTGAATGATGTTGCCCAGCAGCTATGCAAAGAGAGAGAGCAAAAAAGTAAAACATTGTCCCAATGTTGTTGATAAAAAGTTCAGATTTTCTGAATGAAATTAAAAAAAATGGAAAATTTTGCATTTTTTAGATAAAGTGCTTTTCAACACTAAAAATTTCTTTATGCTTAGTCAGACAAAAATGATAAAATTACATTCCATAATCACCCAAACCACATAGGAACTTATGAGTGAGTTAGTTTGTCTTAATATGATTTAAGAAAATAAAAACAGCATAAAAATGCCAATAAACGCACAGATACCTTTACACAAGACCAGAACTGTCGCTGGTAGAACAAGTATGCACCGCTGTTCTTATTGTCCATCACACTGCATAACAGAAAACAAGAGTTGCTTATGATGATTAGATCACCAAGAATTAAAACGAAGCTTCAAATTCTAACATTTCTCTGACGTACTTTTTAGGGTAAAGCGGAAGGAAGACATCCTCATCCAGGGTCCGTCTGGTCCGTAAGACTATTGACTTCAAAAGCTCCTAGCAGACAAAGATAAGTGAGTTAGAATCATTTTATAACACTAAGCACATGTAGGTTAAATATTTTACACAGCTGAAATAATTTGCATGGATCCATAAAAGCATCCTCTACCTGTGTGTACTGGTTGTCCCCGTGCAGCACGGTCGGGTAACCTTCAGCAAGTCTGTGAATGAAGCTCACCAGCCTCGTTGTCTGACTGCTCGACAGCGGGTCCCACACTTGCTCTGCCAGCACTGTCACAAACAACATGACACATGTTGTACTCGTTTGGCCTCGGGCAAAAATCATGTTTAGTATCCCTTGCTGCTGCACAGGATTCACTACCTGATAGCTTGGAGAGAAGAACCTTCTCTACGATAGCAGGCAGCAAGCCGATGTCCCCGTCGTCTTTTTCAAGCGTTCTGTGCTCCTCGAATCCATAAAACAGAAGCGACTCAAACCACAGCATGTACTCAAAGTTTGCACACGGCTCCTACATGAAAGTAAAAGAAATTAGAATTAAGGATCTGGTTTTCAATCCCAAAATACCATTTGGATGAACAAATGTTTCCTTACCTCGAGAGGGTTCCACGTGATGAGCTGCAGACGAACTAAAGGGTTAAAGAGCTTGGGTAAGCAGAGGCCGATGTAAGCGTCTCTGTAGCAGTCCGGGTATTCCCTTTTCCAGACCTCAAAACGGGACTTGATGCAGTCAAGAGAATGAAAGTCCTCCACCACATCCTCAAATACCTTTCTACTTTCTGCTTTGATGCGATCTGGATGGGACAAAGTGTGAGGACGGTTCATTTCTATGTTCTCTTAAATAATTGGTATTTTTCACAGTTTTGCAGAAATTACCTCTCTCCATGTTGAAGCTGGTGATGTCTGTAGAGGTTTCCTCGTCATCAGAGGACAGGCCTTCTTTATGCTCAGCCCTTTTTCCATTCTGCTCTCTTGCTTGTCGCCGACGAGTTCTAGATCCACACAGACACACAC